TAGCCTCTGTGCAGGGAGTTCTGCTGAAGGGTTCCCTGCTGGGTCAGATGAGGATCTAGTGGGCCCTGGGTCGTCTCACTCACTCGCTGGGCCAGGGTTCTGGGTCTGTTCAGGATCCGGAAGGCCCTGGGTTGTCTAACTCACTCGCCGGGCCTGCGCTCTGGGTCTGAATGAGTTGAATTCTTACTTGTATGCTGTTTCCTTTAAAAGCAAAGGCTGACCTGAACAGGTTCCTTATTGAAGTGAACTGAGATGGAGTAAGGAACAGTCAAAATCTGGAGTCAGTCTGGAATTGTTGGAGAATGAGAAGGAAAGATGTGGGAATCACAAAAAGAAGACAATCTAATGATAACTTTTCCTGAGGAACTGTATTTTGGAACATGTAACTTTTTACTACATTACTATTAATCAAATATGACAGAATACAGATATTTTCAAATATGCAAAGAATCAAATATTCACCATATACACAGCTAGGCTACATGAAGACTTCTTACTAAAAGAAAAGGAAAAGTGAGTGTACTTTAGAAGTACAGTAGAAGGATATCTGGGGCACAAGGGGTCCAGCACACCTAGATGATGATCAGTTTAGTTGGGACAAAAGATGGAGACTCCCAGAAGAAACCTCTCAGGGAAAAAAAGCACATTTATGAAATATATAATATAATCAATTTTTAAAATAAAATGAGGCTATGATAAGGCAAAGGTACAAGAATAAAGGAAAGGCAATTAGAAACTCCAGGGGAGCAAAAATTTTTCTAAAGAAGAAACTATAAACACAGTACATTCAATGGCTCTGGCTAAATGGTATTACTTACTAATGATATAATTCTTCAAAAGGAAAAATAAAGATATAATCATGGCTATAACAAAATAGAGTATAAATGCTATCTTTTAAAAGAGGAAGTGGAACAGAAATAGAGCCAAAGTGGATTATAGATACTGATACCATCATCTTACCAAATGAGAAACAAAAAGAGGCTGTGGTTGATGATAAAACTAAAGGTGTAATGATATTAAGTCTAAAAGATAACTACAACAAAACTAAGCCAGCGTAGTGGCACATGTCTAATTCTCCTACTTAGGGGACTGAATCAGGAGGAGCACGGGAGTTGGAGGCCAGGCCAAACTACATAGCAAGACTCGTGACTCAAAACCCTAGAGAGAGAAGGAAGGAGGGCAGGAGATAGAGACAGAGACAGAGACAGGGGCAGAGAGACAGAGAGAGAGACAGACAGAGAAGAAGGAAAGAAGGAGGGAGGGAGGGAGACAGTGAGACAGAAAGAAGAGAGCAGAGAGAACAGATGGAGAAACTGAACATATTAATTATGCTTGAAAAATTAAGAAGAACACAAGCTAAAATGATTATACATGGAGGTTATGATTGGGGCTGAGAGGAAGCAGCATAAAACATAACTTTCCAGTTATAAGCTTCTTGTTCTTAATTAGCATTCTTAAAACAATGTACAGCATTATTTTAGGAAAGTAAATTCAAGCAGAGGAAGGGAATCCATCTGTGGCTTTGTCAAATCTTATGTACAGGCATAGAAACTCATCTGTCCTATTAGGAAAACCTAAGTCCTTGTTCTCTTATAACTACTGAGTTCACTTTTTTTTGAAGTCACTAGTGGATTATAGATACTGATACCAAAAAAGGGAGGAAGTTGTGAATATTAACTTATTTCCTGTAAAGATACAACCATAGATCACAAGTTCAAATGACTTCTCACACCTAAAAGGCAAGGAAGTAGGTAAAGACAAGAAAATAGAGGGCCGGCCAGATAGCTCAGAGGACTAGGGCACCTACTTAGGAAGAGCACAGGAACCTGGACCACAAGCTGTGCTGGCCCCACCCCCGGGGCACGCTGAGACCATGACTGAGACTGGGCATGGTGGTGCACACCTGTAATCCCAGTGCTTGGGAGGCTGAAAACAGGAGGATCATTATGAGTCTGATCTGTATAGTTAGACCCTACAGACCTTGTACTAAATACATCAAAAAAGATATATTTTTGTAACTCTTTCTTCAAAATCAGTGAGTTACAATGACTTATTGACTTATAAGCTCTCAGTGCTGATGACAGCTTAGAAGTTAAAAAGAAAATTCCAAAGCTAATATTCCTCGCTTTCTCTAAATCTCAAGATGTTTAGCAGCTGCAGTTGCACATTAGGCAGAAAAGTTTAAGGCAAGCATCTGGGATTCATTCATGTCAATTGTTGCTCTTTAAAGGAGGTATTTTTTAAAAAATATTAACCTTCTTTTAAGGATTATTTTCATAAGAAATGAACATCTCCCCTTCCTACTCCCTGCCAGCATCTATTTCAAAGTTTCAGCCTGCTCTAGGAAACTGAAAAGGAACTTGCTTCCTACATGCTAAGTGTCTCTTCACTCCATATGCAAAAGCTTCAGGACAGTCCCCAGGGTGAACAGACTCTCATGGGGCCTCAAAACCACTTCCAGATGTGAGCCCCCAAGGTAGACAAGCAGATTCAGGCTTCCGGCCCCTTTCCAGATGACAGCCTCCAGAAAGATGAGTGTGGCAGAGACCTATTCCCCTGACTCCAGATGTGGCCACAGAGCACACAAGTAAACTGAAACATATTCTCTCCCCACCACACATAATCCCCTAAGCAAGACAGCCTTCTTATGTGCCTCCAACAACACTCCATATTGTCTTGAGAGAGCTAATTCTCCATAGCTCAAAGTCTTACGTTCCTATCCCTCACCAGTTCCATCTTCCTATATTCCATTCTCAATCTACGAAGATGAGGTTCCTCACCTGTGTCAAGGCACTTATCTCTGGACACACTTTGGGGATGAGGTTATTTTGAAGGTCTAAAGTCTTCAGGCGAGGCAGTTTTCCTAATGTTGAGGGCATCTTTGTCATCTTCTTCCCATTCAAAGTAACGATCTTAGTGTTTTTACCACTCTTCAGCGCTCCTATCAGCAGTCTCTCTGCCATGATCTTAGAAGAGGAAAGTAACCTGAGAGATTAGAGCTCTTTCTTATACATCTTTAGAACCTCTCCTTGCAGAACAGATGTGTCATGGAAACAAAAACATTCTGAGCTCCACCATGCTGAAGGCAGAAGGCATCAGATAGGTTCCTATGGAAAAGGGAGGGAGGGAAAACCAGTGGATATAGACTTGGGCAAGAAGCTTTGAATATTTTATGCCAGAGATACAGAACATATCAAAGATTAATGAGATTACATCCAGAGGACACAAGCCAATTTCTAGGAGGTCCCACCAGTTTACGATGGGATGTAACTGAGGATCAGAAAAGAATGAAACAAAACAAAACAAAACAAACAAACAAACAAAAAAAAAACCCTAGAATAGACTGAAATGCATCAAAGCGTACTAAATTCTAAGAGTTCATTGGCAGTTTTTTTTTTTTTTTTTTTTCTCCTCTACTGTCAATAAAAGGCAGTGCCCTTATATAAAGCTTTTTTTAGGCATATCTTCCAGACATTTTTTTTTATTTTTTTTTTTTTTTTTTTTTTATTTTAAAAACACCCTGGCACCAGAGTTTCTAGGATACCAACACTAAAAATTGACAAAGAAATAGTGCTGAACATTTGTTCTACTCTTACAAAACAAATTGAATTTCAGCATAATATAATAGTTAATAAAGATCTTATTCAAAGAGAAATTATATTTACCAATTGAAGAAAAAAAATAGCTTTAGAAAATTCACTATGCAATTTTATTGGAATAGGGGATCTATGCAAAAATCATAATTGGTTGCTTAAAGTGTTAGCTGAAAGGCTGATATGGAACTCTTTAAGCAAAGGATCAGATTAATAATTTAACTCACTAATCAGTTTTAGCCATTACTAAAATCTAGATAATCACAAGATAAACCTTATGAAAAATGTAATAAAAATCACACATTAATAAATAAAATGCTCTTGCCTAATAACTAAACCTAAATCTAATCATGGCATTAAGACCACTTATGTGAATGCATGAGAAGCAGACAGCAGATTAAAATTCTCAAGAAAGAACTTGGTCAAATCAATAACAGAACATTCTACAGGGTAAAGGACATAAGCTTCACCCACAAATCACTGGCATTAACAAAAAGAGAAATGAATGCTATGAAGAAAATTAACTTAAGACAAATAAAATCCAGATGCAATGTTTGTACTTGGGTTGAACCCTCATTTGAATACAAATATCTTGCAGTCAATTAGGGAAATGTATTTATGAACTAGATATCAGCTAATAGGAATTATAATTTTGTTAAGTGTAACAATGGCATGATAGTAGCACTTAGCCTAACATTTAGAAATGCATACTGAACTTTTCAGGTGAAATAAGATGATGATCTTTCAAATAAGTTCTGGTATCACAAGGTTAAGAGTGAGAGGCACAGGGCGGAACTGCTGGTCAGCAGGATCCCAAAGGCTGCCTCTTGCTCAATCAAATAAGTAGAAGCCAGGGCTTAAGGCAAAGAAGAGGTGCTATTTTATAAGGTTGCCACACATGTGTGTGGGCACATGCATGAGCCCCCCCACACACACACACTCACACCCTCTCTAGGGATTGGGATATTTTTCCTACTTAGTATTGAACTCAGGACCTCACCACATGCGAGGCAAGGATCTCTACCTCTGAGCTACATCCCCAGTCTTCCAATTGATATATTCTTTTGAGAGCTCATAGAAGAGCCAGAAACTTGCTATTTTCAGAGCAGGTGATTTTTCTTTCTTCCTCTGCGTTTTTGTTTTGTTTTGTTTTTTTCTTCTTAGCAGGGGCAAGAGGGTAATGATATGTAGTTCTGGCTTTGAACTCACTATATCCTGCTATGTAGGCTGGCTTTGAACTCAGGATAGCCCATGCTGGCCTCAAACTCACCGTAGTTCTCCTGCCTGAACCTCCTGTGTGCTGGCATTACAGGCATGTACTACCACTACATGCTGAGAGTGGGAGCTTTACTTGAATGCAGTATATACATAATAAACTGAAAGCCAAATAGCTCAGCAGATTAAAGCAACTGCAAGCAGTTGAACGGGGTGGGGGCTCAATCACTGGACCTGCAGGCCAGCCTCGCCTCTGGGGCACAGAGACAGCAATTGAGACTGGGCATGGTGGCACGCCTGTAATCCCAGCTCTTGGGAGGCTGTAAATAGGTGGATCACTACGCGTCCAATCTAGTAGTGAGACC